TCATCCCACAAGGCAGGTGGACACGACTGCTTATGTCGATATAACTTATGTCTCTCAAAGGTATAAAAAAGCCACATGCATCCTGAGGGGTACAAATCACAATGGCTTAAGCACAGTTCACACTAGTGCTAGGTCAGTGTGAGACACTCTTCCTTGGACAGTTTCTGTCGCTCACAGAGGTGAAGTAATTATGCCAATGGAAAGCGCTGTCCCCCATTGGCAGAGCATCTTCACCCGACGTGCAGTGCAACTCTGTTGGCACTGCCATAGTGCTTCTAGAATAGAATAGCCCACATTCTTGGTTAGTCCATATACTATAGTACAAGGGTAGCCAACTAGTTAGGGTAGGTCTACACTGCCACCCTCGTTCGAACTAGTGTGGCTAATGTAGGCATTCGAACTTGCAAATGAAGCCTGGGATTTAAATATCCCGGGCTTCATTTGCATGTTCCCGGGCAGGCACCATTTTTAAATGCCCGTAGTTCGAACCACCTGCCCACGGCTACACGCGGCATGGACTAGGTAATTCGAATTAAAGCGCCTAATTTGAACTACTGTTATTCCTCCTGCAAGGAGGCCTAAGATCCATCTACAAGCAGTCAGCCTCTGTTTCCCTTCTTAGACTCAAGATACTGAAAAACACTTTTGTCCATTCCCCTGCCTTCTCAAGCTGCACTTTATTGAATTAACAAGCACTAAAATAAAGTTCCAAAGTCCACCCAAAATGTCTGCACAAAGGTGTCTTATGATTCTGTGATTCCTTGCCCTAGGCCTTCTTGCCTGGCATCTTTCCTGCTTTGGCAGGCCACTTCCAGGCCCTCCTTGGCCGGTGTCTCAGTCCTAACTCTCACTTCTAACAATTTCTAATCCCTGAGCATTGCCCATTTTGTTGCAGCTTTCTGCTACTCTTTATAGGACAGTCATCCAGGTGTGGCTCATTCTGTAACCAGGGGTGGCTAGCTCCAGCTCTTGCAAGACCCCAAATACCGCTCCCAAGAAAGTTCTGTCTCCTGCCCAGCAAGCTATACCCTTGTGGCACAGGTCTGCTGCTTTCACCAATGAAAAGGCTTGGGGGCAAAGCTAGATCAAGTGGTAAAGAAACAAAGTATATGGCCAAATTTTCAAAAATTGCCACTGGTTTCAGGTTCCTCAATTTGTCAATGCTCATTTGCCATGGGCCTGGTTCAGAGGTGCTGAGCACAGGCAGCTCCCACTCGCTTGAGCTGGGCTCGTGGGAACTCAGTACCTCTGAAAATCAGGCCCAAAGTGTCTCAAGAGGGGCCATAGTGAATTGGAAACTTTGGGCCATAGTGAATTAAAGGTGTCTCAGTGTCTCCCAGGGAGGAAAAGATGGACCGTCCCTGCTATATTTGAGATGTGGCCTCCTCCGTAAACAGCCACATTTCCAGTCATCTGGTGCGTAGGGAGCAGAGGTGAAAGTAAGCGGGTGCTCCCTGGTGCACAGCTCTGGCAAAAGCCAGCAGGGAGCTATTTAAAGAGGCTTGCAATAGGCCCATACTTGTAAGACATTTTATGTTACTTTCACTGCTGTTAGGAGGTCCCATTCTATTGCCACATCAACTTTCTTTCCCTTCCTGCAAAAAGCAAGATTACCATATCAGCACGAGCAGGGGGTGAGACGTTTCATTTGCTCCCTGGATGTTATCTCCACAGAACATCTGCTTCTGAACAGTTTGCCCCAGAAGGAACTGACTTGCTACTTTAGAGTAAAACAACGAAAAAAATATTAGTCACCAAGAAAAGCCCCATGCTGGTCTCAATGTGTGGACTCAGTGGATGGAATTCTCTGGCCTGTACTACTCAGGAAGTCAGAATAGGTCCTTCAGGAGCTTTTCCTCACAAGGTTCAGTCCGTTCCTTGGAGCTTTTCACAGAACTAGTGTCATTTCCTCTTCCCTCTGAGTTCTGTGCAAAGCCAGGGTCCTTTCAACCTTTCCTGGCCCTTTGATGAATCCAGAACCACAGACAGTGGATTGTTTTTCAAACAAAATATCTTAGATTTATTAAAAGTAATAAAACATCTTTACATCTGCAGTTCAAAATATGCTACCCAGCACAATGGCCCCACCCCTATAATCAGCCTCCATTAAAAAGATCCATTAAGAAGATGTATGCATTGTTTTTATTTAATAAAAAATAGTAAATCTCTTTCTAAACAGGGAACATCTACTGAACAGAAGGATCAGAATGGGGGAGACTGGAATCGACCTTCCTGCTTTGGGAGGGGATTGGACTCAATGACCAACTCTCTGATTCTGTAATCTTCCTCTCATAGGGCTGCCAGTCCTCCAGGGTTGTCCTGGGTTATCCAGGAATTAAAGATTATGTTATGTGATGAAACCTCCTAGAATACATCCAGCCAAAATTTGCCACCCTATGCTCTAAGGCAGAGGTGGGCAATAACATGGCAGTGGTTCACCAGGATTAGCCCCTGTAAAGCACTGTGGACTGGAACCCTGCTTCCCGCAGCTCCCATTGGTCAGGAACAGCGATTCACGGTACCTGCGTCTGTGCAGGCAAATATAGTTGTGAGGGCCCACCAGGAGCTAATCCTGATGGAGTGTATCTGATTTTCCCCACCCCTGCTCTAAGGGTCTACACTGCAGTTAAACATCACAACTGGCCCTTGTCAAATGTATCTGACTCTTGGGTTAAGGGGCTGTTTAACTGCAGGGCAGCTCGTTCTTGGGCCGAGGCAGGGCTGTCCTTAGGCATAGGCAGCATGCATGGCTGCATGGGACACCCAAAAATTTGGGGTGCCAATAGGTAAGAGTGGGTCAGTTCCTGCACACCCAGCATGCTGCAGTCTCCTTAGGGACGGACTCTATTCACGGAGCTGAATATGCCAGTATGGTGCATTCTGTGTGAGGGACAAGGTGCAGGGGTCTCTGCAGGGACCACCGGAAGGCAGGCTGGGCAGCTCGGAATCCTTTCCTGTCTCATCCTTCCTCTCCTGGGCTGCAAGCCCAGTCTGCCGCAGGGTCTGCTGGGTACAAATATGCATGTGTGCGTGTCAGCAATGGGAGGGGGGTTCTTCTAGGGACACCAGTCTTTTAATACTGCAGAGCCCCATACATCTTAAGGATGGCCCTTAGCCTATGGGATCCCCCCACTTCACAGGCTCGTAGGGCCCAGACTCTGGCCTGAGTCCAAATGTGTACACAGCAGCTAAACAGCCCCTTAGCCTGAGCCAGGCAAGCCACAGTCAGCTGGCACAGGCCAGCTGCAGATGTCTAATTGCAGTGTCGACATGCTCCAAGAAGCGTGGATTACTGCGTATCGTGTCTGCGGAATAGTAAATACATCGTCATTTTCCCTGCCAATTTTGCTCCCTTTAAAAAACAAAGCAACTCTTTACTCCCCCTCTCCCAAGGGTTCAAACAAATTCAAGCAGCATCCATAATTCACCACAAAGTTAAAAGAGACAGCCTTGAGGAAACTAGTTCAGCATATACTTAAAATTAAGCAGGTGCTTAAGTCCTATTGAATTTCTGAATTAGCAAGATGAGGGTTAAGCCTCAATGTTTTGAATTTCCAATCTTTTGGAAAGGAAGGATTTCCCAGTGGCTAGAGCATTGGCCTACGAGTTGAGAATTGACTTTACTCTGCCACAGACTGCTTTTGTGGCCTTGGACACATCATTTTTTCTACTCTGCACTAGCAATCACTCAAGGTACGTCTAAACTACATGGCTCCGTTGACGGAGCCATGTAGATTTGTTTTTTTGGCAAAGGCAAATGAAGCCGCGATTTAAATGATCGCGGCTTCATTTAAATTTACATGGCTGCCACGCTGAGCCGACAAACAGCTGATCAGCTGTTTGTCCGCTCAGCGCGCTAGTCTGGACGCTCCCCTGCCGACATCAAAGCCCTTTGTCAGCAGCCCCGGTAAACCTCATCCCACGAGGAATAGTCTAGACACAGCCTCAGTATAGCTATGCTGGCAAACCCTTGTTGTATAGATCCCTCTTATACTGGCAAAGGACTGCTTTTGTTGGCATAGCTTGATTCCCCAAAAGCTTCCATCAGAAAAAGCTTTTTTTTCCTGTGACATCTACATCTACATCAGGGCTTTTGCCACTGTAGAAATGTTGTTTAAAAAATACTGCAAGCATTTCTTTTGCTTTACCAAAGGAACTAAGCAAACTGACCTAAGTGTCTGTGTGCCTCAGTTTCCCTGTCTGTACAATAGGGATAATAGCATTGTCCTACTTCATAGGGAGCTTGTGAACATAACTGGTGTGAGAGGCTCAGATGTTATAGTGATGGGATCTACTAAGCACTTTAGATAGCTGATGTGTCCAGGACCTTCTTGGTAATTATATGAAGGCACAACCTCATCAGCATTATAGACATCAGCCTGCAAGCACTCTCCAACATTAGCAGTCCTTACAGGCCTATTTGTTGTGGGACTAAGAATGTGCAGAATCAAGCACCACTTCTGTTCTCCTGAAGGTGTGTCGTTTAAAGAGCTGCTGCCTGGGATGTTAAAGGAGTCGGGGGCCCAGTTCCCACTGAATTCCAACGGGAGTTAGACAGCTAACTTCCTTGTGCACCTTTGAAATCCCAGCTGCTGTCTGGTAGTTTAAGGCACATTTAGAGGGGTTGGTTTGAAGGTTTTTGAAGTTTTAGCAATGTAAATGGTTCAGTTCCTGTTTCGGGTTTTGTTCTGTTTCAGTGAAAGCAGCGTAGGGTTTGTTTGGTGGGGAGAGGTATTTTGATGGTGGGAGAAAGGGCAACTGGTACCTGCAAGGGAGGTTGTGCAGGAATGGCCACCTACAAAAGTAGGGAGGAACATGTGAAGACATCCCTTTTAACAATTAACATTTTGACAGGGACACCTGGATGTGGTGCAGGTCTCGAGTCACTTAGGGTGGGAAATATTAACGTTTCCCTTCCGTACAATTATTTGCATTCCAGTTCTTGCAGCATTGTACAGGGGCATGAAAACCAAGAAGTGAAATAGACTAGAAGCAGGTAATGAACTTGACCATTTTCATTTCACAAGCAGAGGGAAAGGCGAGTCATGAGCAAGCAACCTAAATGGTGACAAGCAAGTGGCAAATGATAGAAAGTCCAAACTGAGTGATATGCAAAAAATTAAATAGCAGGACTGGTAAAAAGCCATTAGATTTATAAACATTGTCCGGTTTTAATCATCTCAATTGTTTTTCGTGTCACAGGTGTGAATATTTTTTAACATATGCGAGCAAATTCTGCTCTCCTTTGCACTGATATAAATCCAAAATAACTCTATTGACCTCAGTGGAGTGATTCTGAATTGACAATGGCATAGCAGAGCTGAAGTTGGCCTGTGAGATTTAACCTGATAGTGTCCCTTTAAGACAACCATACAGGTGTAACCCCAACCTCCCAGCATTGTTGGAGAAAGAGAGAGGCATAGGTTCTCAGCCTAAAGGTGTATGTTTACCTTAAAACGATATACTGCTGCACTGTGCACATTTTCCTTATCTAGCCTATGCAAAATGGTGTGTGTATGTTCTGGTGCTTATCTTAATAGAAGTAACCATCCACAGACTATCAGCTTTGGGTTCATCAGCTCTTCTCTTGGTCTTAGTCACTCCTTTCCTTTTCTTTCTTAGGATTGTCTCTCCAGATGCAGAAGGTGAGAGAAGAAGCCAAGGTCAGCCAGGCCAGGTAAGGCACCATCAGCACTGTTGCTGTCTTGTTAATGGGGTACCAGGAATACATGGTGCCCAGCACCAGGCCATACAGACACAGAACATCCACCAGCGCCTGAAGAAAAGAGAGGGAAATGATTGAGGCATCTAACTGCTGGGACCCTATTCTCCCTTAACTCTTATCAAAGGCAGTCCAGCCAGACTAGGGCTGCTATGGGCTCGCCTGTGGACAGTGTATTTTATAGCCTGATAAGCCATCCGTGAACAGCGCGGCCCCCTTGATGGTCCTGTCTCTGGTTGCAGTAGGGTGTGACTCTGAAGGAGGCTTATCTCTAACGGAAAGATGCAGCAACCAGAACACTGGCTCCCAAACTGCCCAACTTTTTGGATCAGGAATGTGAGGGACTGATACCACTAGTTAGAATCAAGGGTGGTGAGAGCAGACACAGAACTCTGCTCAGATGCCCTTAGAGTTGGCACACGGCACGGCACTAGTATTGCTAGCTGTGAACCCTCCTGAAGTCGCCATACAGGTGGCTCAGGGACACCGACAATACAAGACATCAGCAGATATGCACAGACACATTACCAGGTTTAGCTTATGGGCGCCAAAGAATAGGGGAGTCCAAGCCCAGTTCAAGGCAAGCTGAGCCCCATAGAGGCCCAGTGGGATGATGGCTTTGCTGTTGAAGCCACCAAGGTCATTCCACACCAAGTATGAAGCGTAGCTGAAAAGAGGAAAATCACAATTAGTGTTTGCCTGTTCCACCTGCCTTCTCTCCAAGATGCTGAGGAATCAGGCACTATTCTACCAGGAGATGCTAGATTTTGCTCTATAGAATTATTGCTGGAACATGACTCCAAGGGCAGATCCCAGCCTAGCCAAAGGCAGCTCTTAGGGCTTATCTAAGCTGTAACCCATCAATCTTCATATAATGATCTGCTGGTTTTGTTTATCTTACTCTGTTGTATGTATCATTTGTGTGCGGAAAATTAGACACATGGAGTGGGGAATACTTGGTGAGTTTCAAATGTGTGAATGGGAGACATGAAGGGTGTTGCCTGCGACTTCTAGATGAGCCACTGTTAAACAATCTTTTGTCCTTACTTCTGAGCAGGGGTTGGTAGGGAGGGGCCTCAACTCCTTAAGAAAAGGAATAGGAAAGGAGAGGCCTGGCTCTTTTGGCGGGGCTGCACCTGAAGGAAGGAGCCTGAGACCCCAGGGTGGGGAAGACAGCCCTGGTTTAGAGTGGCAGATGGAAAAGAGGTTTTAGGGTAAGTTTGCACTGAGGTTTCAGTGGAGAATTAGCCAAGCGGTTTTGTTTCTTTTGATTATTTGTAACCTACTTTGCTCTGCCTGACTTCTCTTATTGCTACTTAAATCCTACTGCTTCAATTTAATAACACTATTTTTATTTTCTATCAAACCCAGTGTAAGGAATTGTTACCTGGGGGGGGGGGGCAACCAGTGGGCACATTCCCCCTTTCATTGCTAAAGGGGGCTTACCTAATTCTTTGGGGTCTGATCCCATCTGGGGGGTGCTCTCTCAGGAGGCTGGGCCCTAAACTGCACTCTCCTTGGACCTGAAGTTGGGACAGGAACCTCTCGGTGGGGACAGGAACCTCAGCTCGGGGCCTTGGCTCAGGGAGACCAGCGGAGCTGGCCCAGCAGGACCGGGCGGTGAGGAGCCCTAGAGAGCAGGAGGGTGAGTGGAAATGGCCGTGTCAGCACCCTAGGAGGCTCCCCCGAGGGGTCGTCTGTGAACACCCCATCACAGTAGATTTTGCTCTATAGAATTATTGCTGGAACATGACTCCAAGGGCAGATCCCAGCCTAGCCAAAGGCAGCTCTTAGGGCTTATCTAAATTCTGTTTTGAGAGGGAGAGGGGTTGCACCAGTGTAGCTACACCAATGCAACCTCCAGTCTAGACATACCAAATTAAAAATGACTTGCAGTAGTGGGTTTGCACCAGCACAGCATTGGTGCATCTACATTTCTAGCCCTGCATCACCTCAGACTCATGATCTCTCTTGTCTGTTTAGGACGGTAGTAAATTCACCTGGTAGAGTATGTGTCTGTTTACAGTGCTTAGCACAAAGGGGCCCTGATCTTAGCTGGGTTCTCAAAGTTGTACAGTTGTCATCATGCTCCTCAGTGCAAAATAAACCCAGGGTAAACAAACTCCTTGGCAATAATAAAATAAAATAAATAATAAAAATAATAAACTATTATTATTATTCCAGGTAGAGTCAATGAACTCAGTTCAGTATCCAATGGGGAGTTAGGTTCATCTTCTGAAAATAAACATTCTTTTCCTGTGCACTTGGTACTCGAGGAGGAAAGCCCCAAATTGAGGGATGGGAGAGTCAGCAGTATCATCTCCTCTAGAGATAAAGAGCTGCAGAAGCAGAGAAGGAGTCGTACATAGAAACTTACCCCATGCCTGTGTACAAGGTAGTCCATACGACAGGGAACATTTTGTTGGGTGGACGCCAAGAAGGTTTCTTCAGACTTTCAAACCAAGTAGGCACTTCCTTCCGTGTCAGGAGCCAGCCGAGAAGTCCCCCAATGTGAGGAAAGGCAGAGAACCCAAAAGCATGAGCCCACATTCCTCCTTACTGGATTGAACTAGATTTTGAGTGGGCTGGTCCAGGTCTTTTGTAACTGAAAAGCAATAAGTGAGCATCATTTACCAAGGACATTGGTTATTTCAGTATTGACCAAGACCATCCAGGTCTTTGTCTTTGTCTCATCGCCCAAAGTTCCATTTTAGCAACCAACGCAGGAAACTGGCATGTAGGTAACCGGGGTTCTGTTCCTAGCTCTGTCACCACGTAATCAACACACATTAACAGGTGTATTGTGAGCAAGACACTAGAAGTCATTCTTCCGCTCTACTCTGTGCTGGTTAGGCCTCAGTTGGAATACTGTGTCCAGTTCTGGGCACCGCATTTCAAGAAAGATGTGGAGAACTTGGAGAGGGTCCAGAGAAGAGCAACAAGAATGACTAAAGGTCTAGAGAACATGGCCTATGAAGGAAGGCTGAAAGAATTGGGTTTGTTTAGTTTAGAAAAGAGAAGACTGAGGGGGACACATGATAGCCGTTTTCAGGTATCTAAAAGGGTGTCATAAGGAAGAGGGAGAAAACTTGTTCATCTTGGCCTCTGAGGATAGAACAAGAAGCAATGGGCTTAAACTGCAGCAAGGGAGGGTTAGGTTGGACATTAGGAAAAAGTTCCTAACTGTCAGGGTAGTCAAACACTGGAATAAATTGCCCAGGGAGGTTGTGGAATCCCCATCTCTGGAGATATTTAAGAGTAGGTTAGATAAATGTCTATCAGGGATGGTCTAGACAGTATTTGGTCCTGCCATGGGGGCAGGGGACTGGACTCGATGACCTCTCGAGGTCCCTTCCAGTCCTAGTATTCTGTGATTCTATGATTAATCTTGGGCAATATGTTTAATCTTTCTGTGCCTCCATTTCCCCATCTCTAAAACGGTGGTGCGGATTCATGTGTTACTTAGTAAAGTGCTTTGAGATCCTCAGATAAAAAGGGCAAAGTATTACAGCAATGGGACAGGCAGTTGCCTCATCATTTCGAATTGTCTGCAAGTGTAGCCTTGTCATTAGAGCAGGGGATTAAGAGCCAGGACTCCTGCGTTCCATTATCCGACTTTGCCATTGATGTCTCACATGACCTTGAGTAAGACACTTAACCACTTGTTAACACAGGTGGATTTTACCCTTGGTCTTTTTGGCAAAGTGCCCTCCCGCCCATGTTTGCACTGGCTGCTGCAATTTCATTATTTATCCAAAGTGGCTGCATTGAAATCATCCGTAGAAGACATGACCTTGAGTAAGACACTTAACCACTTGTTAACACAGGTGGATTTTACCCTTGGTCTTTTTGGCAAAGTGCCCTCCCGCCCATGTTTGCACTGGCTGCTGCAATTTCATTATTTATCCAAAGTGGCTGCATTGAAATCTCATGGGACTCCCATTTTCTTTCTTCAGCTAAAACTCTCACCCATTTCACAAAGGGGTAAACTGAGCCACAGAGGGATTTACTGACTTTACTCTTCTAGGTCATACAGTGATTTCCTTCTATGCAGGCATGGAACCAAGGAATATTGCGTCTCAGTGCCATATTCTAACCATTACATTACACCCTCACATTTTAAAGGCAGTCCTAGAGTTCTTACATGTCTACGGGGCAATGTTGAGTGTTCCCTAGTCCTCAACGTGCTTCTTAATCTCGGGGGCAGATTGATACATTGCTACCTAGCCTCTCTTTGGATCAACCCTTTCTTTTCAGTTTCATTCATAAATTTAAACTCAATCTCATTAATCTGCAGGAACATGTGGAATGTTCTTCCTGGCAGTAAAAGAACATTCTGATCCCGCTCAGCGTCACAGTGGGAGTCAGAGCGAAGGGCTTCACAAAGGTTGTTGTCTTTGGGAATGTAAGGGGAGGGATTCAGAGCACATTTTTTAGGGGGTGGGGGAAATAGGAAGACTTCTTTGCAAATAAGAGTTTTTGTGGGAATAAGTAACACTGGTTTTATCAGCAAGCTTTTTTTCATTGG